AGAGACTTTGTATATGGGGAAGAAAAATAAGCCAGGTGTGCTGTGATAGGAATCTCAGAAGCTCAAGCTAAATAAAATAACTAGAAAGTTTGAAAAGATTGACTTAAAGGATCAGTGCATTATGGCATCAGACTTATGGGAAGAATTTTCAGGAGCCAGATAGGGGAGTGTCATGGTCTAGGAGGAGAGTAACTAATGAGTGAAAATCTAGTACAGCCCTGATATAAAGGGAACTTGATGTCCCTGGAGATGAGTAAATAGCAGATTCTATCCTTGAAGATGAAACAGTGTCAAGGCATATCTGGTCAGACCTAAAATTTGAAGGTCTTTGATTAACACCCGTCCTGGACATGGTTAATCCAATTCAGTTCTGTTCACAAATGTTATTTGTTAAGGAAAACTAAGAAATAGGCCTTGTCTTCACCTTGTCTAATTAAAGTGACAGATGCATAAATACATCATTTTAATTGTTAAGCACAGAAAACAGTAGAGCAATATAGGGACTGCTTTGGGGGTTCAGAGAAGGAACATTTAACGTAACCTGGAGATGTTAAAGAAGGCTTCCCTGAGGAGATGAAATCTAAGATAAGTTTTCAAAGGATATTAGGAGTTAGCCAGATGAAGGCAAGGCAGAATATTGGGATATTCTAAGCATAAACTAAGGTTTAGAGTCATTAAATAGCATGAAACTAGTTGCATGCTTGCCTAGCTGGTCAGTCCACCTAGGCCAGGGTTTTTTACCCTTGCTCTGTTGACATTTGGGGGGCTAGGTGATGATTTGTTGCGGGGGGCTGTCCTGTGCATGTAATAGGACTGTTGACAGCCTGCCTGGCCTCTACCTAGCAGGCATCACTAACGGCAGCAGCCACCACGACAGCTGTGAAAACTAAAAATGTTTCTAGATGTTGCTGAACGTCCCTGTGGGAGGCAAAATCGCCCCTGGTTGAGAACCAGTGACCTGGGCTAAAATTTAATTAAGTTAGGATTAGAAATTTATATTCTGAAACTCAGTGCATTCATGTTTTCTTTTCTATTTCTTTAGTTCAGTAAACATTTCTTTTGAAATTCCAACCTAGTCCTAACCAAAGAAAGAAAATTGTTTCCATATCTTGTTCAAGATCTAGAGGAGCAGATCATTATAGGGCTAGAATTCTGGGTGTAATGGTAGCTGTGATCAGAATAGTACAGAGCTTAGGGAACTGGATAAAAGATAAGTACAGTAACCCAGAAATTGAATATATAGAGATTTTCACTCAATTATAAGAACATCAAAATTTAGAACTCCTCAATAGCTTTAATTCTCCCAGCAGCCATTTCAGCACTGTGTCCAGGTTTGCACTACAACTTAAAATACTGGAAAACTTGAAAGTACATAGGAAAACATGAAAATGACTAGCTGTCACATGTATGTGAGAAAATGAAGTTTAGCATTATAATTGTTTTGGCCCACAGGGAAAGAGAGACTGTGCCATGATCTTCTAGAGTTTGAAGAATTATAAGTCTAAAGATAGTATCCAGGTCCTTTTTTTTTTTTTAAAGATTTATTTATTTATTTGAGAGAGCGAGAAAGAGAGAGAGAGAGTATATGAGAGGGGGGAGGGTTAGAGGGAAAAGCAGGCTCCTCACTAAGCAGGGAGCCCGATACAGGACTCGATCCCGGGACTCCAGGATCATGACCTGAGCCGAAGGCAGTCGCTTAACCAACTGAGCCACCCAGGCACCCCTCCAGGTCCTTTGAAGATTGAGAAAATAAGACTTAGATTGTAGAACAACTTTAGGATTAGGTTTAAATATTCTAGAAAATCAGCAAACTTACTTAAAAACTCTTTAAAGTATAAGCCACACTTTTCAATATTTTAAGTGTCAGACTGATAAAAAAAGCTTCTGATTTTAAAGAATTTTTCAATTGTTTGCATATATACACACACAAATTTATATAGTTATATACGTATTTAATATGTCAAAGATGAGTCTAAACTCCAGTTCATATAAACTGCTTCCAACTGTGTTGGCTAACTCCTCTTTTTATTCAACATCTATTAGGTAGGGCTACAAGTGTGAATATATTTAGCCACTAGCTTCTTATACTACTAACTATAGTAGAGTATTTAAAGTACACTATGATAGATTTTTAAATCTCTGTATTAAAATCACATTGAATTAATGAATTTAGTAGCTGTAAGAACAATGTGAATTAGTTTGAGAGGGATAAAAAAATATCAACGACTATGTTAAATTGTGGAAGATAGTCCAAAGTGTGTAATATTACCATCACTTAATAATGCTAAAGGCAAGCAATAGTTTATAGTATTCATGTGACACTTTTGTAGGACTACTTGATAAGCAAAAGTTATAGAGAAAGCAGATGCTATTTTTACATTTTTCAAATTTCTCTCCTTAGTGTTACTAACCAACTTCTTTTTTAAGATTTTATTTTTTTTTAAGTAATCTACACCCAACATGGGGCTTGAACTTACAACTCTGAGATCAAGAGTCGCATGCTCTACCGACTGAGCCAACCAGGCACCCCAAACCAACTACTTTTGGTAGTAATTCAGCCAAAATGCAACCCAAAAAAAGGAGTGTTATCATTGAGCTCATTTTTAGTTTGAGATGATGGTATTACCTGTGTGTGAAACTAGTGCTACTTTGAGAAAAGCACATTGGAATTAAGTTTTCCTAAAATGTTAGCTTCCAGGTGTGACTTTACTTATATAGCCTTCTTGTGCTTAGTTAATAAAAGCCAGCACCATATTTTATTTCCCATTATATCCCCAGTGCTAGGTACAGCTAGGTAAAGCATGCAATAATTATTATGGATGAATGAATGAATGGTCTTATCTGCAACAAGTTAAACCCAGAACTACAACTAGGTTTTAACTTAAATCATTACCTTTTCAACTTCACTATCTTTCTTTTGTTTTGTTTCTAAATAATAAGTTTAAGTCAGTTTTATCTTTTAAATGTTATTTATGCATATGTAAACAAAAATACTCTATCATTAATGACAGTGAACACTTGCTCTAGGGGAAAAATGGATAAATGCATCTTTACCTGCTGGTGCTATTAAGAAATATTAGAGTAGATGAAGAGAAGTAAAATGTGTTATGTTTAGATAATGATGCCATTTTAGATGTGATTTTGGTGATCCATAAAAACAAATGATTTCTTCCTACAAAGCAAAGTAGAACACTAAGGCAGCAATAATAGTCATGAATATAATAGGATTTTAAAACTTTTGAATTTGCTAGTAAATCACTGTTTTCTTATATCAAGTTGTTTAATTTGTGTGTTAAATAAATGTATCTGGGGCGCCTGGGTGGCTCAGTTGGTTAAGCGACTGCCTTCGGCTCAGGTCATGATCCTGGAGTCCCTGGATCGAGTCCCGCATCAGGCTCCCTGCTCAGCAGGGACTCTGCTTCTCCCTCTGACCCTCTTCCCTCTCGTGCTCTCTATCTCTCATTCTCTCTCTCTCAAATAAATAAATAAAATCTTAAAAAAAAAAAAAAAGAAAAATGTATCTGTTGATCCAGTGTGTGAGAGCTATACTCACATATTAAGTACTTTGATATATATTGGATTTAGCATGCTTAGTTATATTTTAAATTATCATGGACCAAAGTCTGTTTCTTTCCTGTCCCTGTAGCCTCTTAAAGGTTAAATGAGATACATAATTTGGAAGAGTTAAAAGTGGGCAGTTATGTAGTTAAAGAGCTAGAAGGCTTAGGTTCCAGTCACAGTTCTGCTTACTGGCTGCCCACCTGGACTAGGTCATGAATCTGCTCAGAGCCTCATGGTAAAATGAAAGACTTAGGTTAGATGAACTCCGAGTTTCCTTCCAGCTCTGAAACATCATATCTCTCAAATTCTGCATTATTTAAGAAATCAGAATTGTTTTCAATGCTACCAACATTTATTTAACATTTTGCAAAAGGCCAGTGGGTACCAGGATAGCTAAAATAACAACCCTGCTGTTACAGAGCCTAGAGATCTAAGTCTTTCCCCTTTCTCATGTGAACCTTAAAATTAGGTTCATTAATTTTTTACTAGAGAGGCGCCTGGGTGGCTTAGTCGGTTAAGCATCTGACTTTGGCTCAGGTCATGATCTCAGGGTCCTGGGATCAAGTCCCTAGTCGGGCTCCCTACTCAGCAGGGAGCCTGCTTCTCCCTCTCCCTCTGCCCCCCCCCCCGCCTCCGCTGCTCATGCTCTGTCTCTGTCTCTCTCTCTCAAATAAATAAATAAAATCTTTAAAAAAATTTTTTTACTAGAATATATAGACTTTTTATAAGAGCTTTTACTATCATACATATGGCAACATGTCATTTATAATAATAAATATTAATAGAATTAGTGAATATTTAATAGTTACTGAGGTTCATATCACAAATCTCTAATTTCTAATTTCTCCAACTTGGAGGTTATCCTTGAGTGAACTAACTAACATTAAGTTTCATGTTCAAGGCAAAGCTTTGGGAATGGTTTCCAAACTATCTCCCTTGTACTTCTGATAATTTTTAATAAGTCACAAAATTACAAATAACTGACAAGGAAGTCAAAACAACTTGTATGTAAGCCTGATACTGTGGTGACTCTCTAAATGTTAACAAATACACAGAATACAGAAAGGATAGTACAAATGATTAGAAATAGATTGCAAAATTTTGGGGATTTGAAATGTGATGGCTGTTAAAAGACATGTATAACCATAAGAGACTCTTAAAGATAGAGAACAAACTGAGGGCTGATGGAGGGAGGTGGTGGGGGATGGGTTAGATGGGTGATGGGTATTAAGGAGGGTATTTGTGATGATGAGCCCTGGGTGTTAAATGTGAGGGATGAGTCACTGAATTCTACTCTTGAAACCAATATTGCAATGTATGTTAACTAATGAGAATTTTTTTTAACTAACTAGAATTTAAATAAAAAAATTGAAAAGAAAAAAAAGACGTAAAATAGTTGGTTTGTTTCTAAATTTTTCTCTTTTTTTTTTTTTTTCCAGGTCCCAAAACAGTTTTTTTCTGGGCTCCAATTATGAAATGGGTAAGTCTTGAGTTTTTGCAGAGGCTACTGAAAAAAATATTCTTTAAAAGGAACTTTTTTTAAAAAATATTTATTTATTTATTTGAGAGAGGCAGATAGTGACAGAGATAGCGAAAGAGAACACAAGTGGGGAGGAAAGGGAGAAGCAGGCTTCCCAGCTGAGCAGAGAGCCCTGTGCGGGACTCGATCCCAGGACTCTGAGATCATGACCTGAGCTGAAGGCAGATGTTTAACCGACTGAGCCACCCAGGCGCCCTAAAAAGAACTTATTAATTTGAAGTCATTTTTATGAAGGATGTACTTTTAAATATTCATGGTTTGTCTGGAGATGATTTCATTCAGATAATCTCAGATGTGTCATTTTTACTGCATAAAGTACACTACCTACTTGAGTTCTGAACTCCTTAGATAAAAGGCCTTTTAGGAACATAATTGGTATCAAAAAGCTTGTAATTGGGATGCCTGGGTGGCTTAGTCCATTAAGCAACTGCCTGCAGCTCAGGTCATGATCTCAGTCCTGGGATCAAGCCCTATGTCAGTGGGGAGTCTGCTTCTCCCTCTCCCTCTACCCCTCCCCCCACCCCCACCCCAGCTTGTGCTCTCTGTCTGTCTCAAATAAATCAATAAAATCTTTAAAAAAAAAAAAAAAGCCTGTAATCGTGGGCCCTTGGAACTGAAACCTCATTCTAAGATTTTATGACTAAGTCAAACATTAAACCAGTTAGAACCCCCCCAGATTAACTTTTATTATTTGTTTAGTATGTGAGCTGATGATACCAACATCAAAATACAGGCAAGGAAAATTAGTCTCAAAAAACAGAAAAATTTATCCAAGGGTGTGTATTAACATTTGGTAAGCGGTAGAGTCTAGGACTTCTGACTCCAAGACCAGTGCTTTTTACCTTATGCCAGAGTTTCCATTCCTGAAGTTCTCATTTAGCTGAAAAGAGGTAATTGTGAAAACAATAAAACCGATTATTGATTCTATGTTGAAAGGACCAGTTTGGGCCTATAGCAATGCTTCTCATAGTGTCATCCCTAGATCTGCTGCATTGGCATTGCTCGGGAACTTGTTAGAAATGCAGATTTTTGCCCTCCATCTCAGTTTTACTAAATCTGAAACTGGGGATGGAGCCCAGTAATTTCTGTTCTAATAAGCCCTCCAGGTGATTCTGATGCCTTCTAAAATTTGAAAAGTACTGGTCTGTAGGCTTTTTTATTTTTTTAATTGTAGTAACTACACATAAAATTTACTATCTTGACCATTTTTTAGTGTTAAGTACAATTGTTGTGCAACCAATCTCCAGAACTCCTTTTATCCTGCAGAACTAAAACTCTACCAGTTAAACAACTCCTCATTTCCCTCCTGCAGCCTTTGGCAACCACCATTCTACTTTCTGTCTCTATAAATTTTACTACTATAGGTACCCCAAAGAAGTAGAATCGTACAGGATTTGTCTTTTTGTGCTTGGCTTACTTAGCACAGTGTCCTCTGGGTTTATCCATGTTGTAACAAGCGTCAAATTTTCCTTTTTTTTTTTAAGTATGAATAATATTCCATTGTATAGATACCACATTTTGCATATCCATTCATTTGTTGATGGACACTTGAGTTGCTTCCACCTTTTGGCCATTGTGAATAATGCTGCTGTGAGCAATGGCATACATCTATTCCAGTCCCTGCCTTCTGGTCTTTGGGGTATATACCTAGAGGTGGAAATGTTGGATCAGTATTACTTGGAGCAACGGCCTGTACTATACTGTACTCCACTGCAGCTGCACTATTTTGCATTCCCACTGGCAATTCACAAGGACTCCAATTTCTATACATCGCCCGCCCGCCAACACTCGTTACTTTTGTTGTTGTTGTTGTTTTATAATAGCCATCTTAATGGGTGAGAAGTGGTAGCTCATTGTGGTTTTGATTTGCATTTTCTAATGTGATTAATTATGCTGAGAATCTTTTCATGTGCTTATTGACCATTTGTATATCTTTGGAGAAATGTCTATTCAGGCCCTTTGTCCATTTTTTAATCGAGTTTTTTGTTGTTGAGTTGTTGGCTATTTTAATTTTCATAAATGTACTGCTTTAAAGTGTCAGAACAATTTCAGAAACTCAGTTGTAAAATCTAAGGAGTTGAGAATGTTAGAATTGGCTATCCCTCAATCTTATGACCTTAGGCAAGTTAAATCTGCCATTTTGTCCCCTTAATTATAAAATGACTAGAGTAGACTAGTGGTTGGGAGCTACATTTTACAGAGAACTAGAGAGCAGTTCTTTTTATTATTATTATTTATATTGTTAAAAATCAAAATTCAACCAAGTAAATTTGAAGATCTAATTGGCTGTATTTAATACATACATCAATGATTCATCAATGGGACAGCATCCCATTTAGCAAGTACAGGGGAGCTCCCAAGGGCTACTGAAAGAGAAAGTTTTTAAAGGCAGGACAACGAAGTCATAAACTTTTAGAAAAAAAGGATTATTTCCAGGTGAGGTCACCTTCATTTGGAGACAAAAGAAAGGATCTTAGTAGGTGAATTATCTCCTCTTTCTTTGAGGGATGGGGAGAGGGCCCAGGTGACTGATTACCTCATTGGTGCTGACCAGAAAATTCCTAACTGACTGGTTAGGACTATATTTCTGGGGGAGGTTGAAAATGCAGTTACATTAGGTATTAGTGACTTGGCCTAAGTGATGCCACTTTGGGCCTATGGTTTTCTTTTTAACAATATATTGAGAAAACGTCCCATCAGTTTAAAAAAAAAAAAAGTTTCAGCATATCATGTTTAATGGTTCTGCTCCCTCTAAACATTCAAAAGTAGTTTAGTTTGGTCTGACAGCACTATGTCAGTTCAGTCATCGATTTTGCACTGTTTCTTACACAGACACAGCATGTTTGTTGTCCTGTTTTGCATCTTTTACAGCCTTTACCACTGTGTATGTTGGCAAACACCAAAAGAAAGGAAAGATGCAGGATGTTACCAGAAAATGCAGCTGCCATTCTCAGGGCCCAAAGCAAAGCACGAAAAATAAATAGCTATGTTCAGAACTACTACATAGTTTATTGAAAGTAGGGGGCAATAATACTGCTTTTTATCGCCCATGTCTTTAAAGCCCTTTTCAGAATAAGTGCCAATCACTGAAGTTGTAAATATGGTGCCTTAACTTCATGTGCTTCCCTGGCACTTCATTCTAATTTTTTCTTGCCTTGGTTAGTAATTAGTAAGTAGTTTGCACTCACTTTTAATTGCTAAAGGCAAGGATTATATACATTTGATTTATGTTTTTGTTGCCCTGTATCTGATGTAAGTGTACACTAAATTCCATCATTCCGTTGTAACCCTACATTCACTCCCAGGATGTGAATTGAAGTTTGGTAATCCACCTCCGTGTATCTATACTCCACTTCCTCATTAAGCAAGTGAAAATCGTTCACTCAAGTACCCGTTTCTGTTTGGTAGGAGAACTCCGTGAATAGGGAGACTCTTCACAAGAGGCCCAGGACAAGAATTCTAGGGTCAAGAATTTTAGTATGGACTTTAATAGCAAAGTTTGTCTTGTAAGCTCTTTTACTTATGTCTGTAAACATTATACATTCACGAATTACTTTCTTTAATACAGTGGGATTCAGAATCATAAGGGACATGATTGAAATTATTCTATACTAACTATTAAAGATTCATTCTTATTATTCAACTTCACACATAATTTTGTGTTTACTTTGAATAAATATGTTTATATATTAATTCTCATGGCTAGAATGGAATTTCAGACACTTTTTAAATGGTAATAGAGATTGTAGTAATCTAATTCTGTGAGAAACTGACAAAATATGTAATGAAGAATACCAGCAGAGAAAGGAGAATCTCTATCTCAGTTGCCCATGACATAATTTTTATAAACTGTGCAAATGTTTAACATAAATGGTGATACCTACAGAGCAGAAATAGAACAGTTGAGGTTGGGACAGGTTAAAAAGTCGGTGGGACAGGTTAAAAAAAAAACCACTTGAAATTTTTGGTGCCTACCACTAATGGTCCATCTATAAGAAACCCCATTAGTATGATGTATGAGTGTCTTTTTCTTTCTTTAATGTTTAAAATGTGTTGTCTATTAATTAAAATGCAGATCAAAGCAAAAATAAACATTCAAAACTAGTGTGATTTAAAAAACTAATGGAAAGTATATTATTATTTTTTCCCTCTTCTCTGTATCAGCACTGGAAATTTTATAGTAATTATATGTCTATAAAAGTGTAATTGATTGCTTCACTATTATTTCTAGCACCATTATTAAAAGAGTAAGAATTATTTACTCTATAACAAATTTGGGGGTTCTCTTTGACCTCAGGTTTGCCACAACTTAGAAGTTTACTGATTTTATCAATACTTTGGTGTTTCTTCGATCTGGTCCACCAGTGTTTTGAAACATTGACAGTATGACATACTCATAAGTGCCTTGTTGGATATCTGTCTTCTTTAAAAACATCTATTTTAAGTTCATGTTGAAATCATGCATAGTCTTCTGATGACAGCATAGCAGTAGAAACTGTGCCTTGTTCTCTGGTGAGGAGACTTCTTTTGTTACATATTTACTTTATGTACATATTATTCCAAACCATTTGATAATAATTCATCTATGGTAGTCTATCCATGACACATAGCAGTTGCTGCCCCAGGCCATATATATTCTATATTAAGAATTTCAGACTATACTTGTTCAGACACTTAACTGGAGTGGAGTCCTTCTTAGGCACTTTTGTTGAAACCAAATCGTCATTGAGGTCAAAGTGGATAATCCTAAAAAACAATACTTATATACCTTAAATATTTTATTTTAACTTAATATATATTCCTTTGCCAATCATCTGTAAGGCTAAAGCTTTTATTTGTGTATGGATCCACTTATTTTGAGTTCTACATTTTCTACTTTGGATGAATTATATTCTAGTGCATCCTGTATAATTTTCACCTTAGGGGTACCTGGCTGGCTTAGTCAGTGGAGCATGCCCTGTGTTGGGCTCCCTGCTCAGTGGGCAGCCTGCTTCTTTCTCCCTCTGTTGCGCCCCGCCCCCCGCTCCTGCTTGTGCTCTCTCTCAAATAAATAAAATCTTTTAAAAAAAAAATCACGATCCTGGGGTGCCTGGATTGTGCCTGGAGTCAGTTAAGCGTCTGCCTTCAGCTCAGGTCATGATCTCAGGGTCCTGGGATCCAGCCCCATATCAGGCTCCCTGCTCGGCGGGGAGTCCACTTCTCCCTCTCCCTCTGCTGCTCCCCCTGCTTGTGTTCTCTCTGTCTCTGTCAAATAAATAAATAAAATCTTTAAAAAAAAATCACAATCCTGGGCTTCAGACAATTTGAAAAACATTTTTTTAACATTTTTAATAGAGAACTAACTTGAGTCTACTAGATGCCAAACTGTATTAGGTTATTTAATACATTATCTCATATTTGATCTTCACCAGAAAAAATCTGAGAAGTAAATATTATTACCATCTTCCAGATAAGGGTACTGAGGTTCAAAGAGCTAGATGACTGAACATACTGTCATGGTAAATGGCCCATCAGGATGTGAAAGCTCACATTGTTTAACTCCATAGCCTATTAAGTTAAGTGTTCTTAAACACTTAGATGACCACCTTTAAAATAGTTGCTGTGGATCTAACTAGTAGTTTCTTTGTATGTTAGAGAGTATTTTACATAATCTTACCGTTTACTCTAAACATTCTCTGAATAGAATCTATATAGTTCTTTTATTTGAATAAAGTTCATAATAAAGGTGAAAAGGAACACAGACCATCTGCCTCCTATCCTGAGGCTACTAATGCCGGAAAAGGTAGAAAACTAATATTCCTTTTTCTCTGTTGCTCTACAGACATAAGCTACTATTCGTTCTTGTTAATAATATTTTCCAGACACTGTGCTCTTATCTCATTTAATCATACATCAGTTTTGCAGGGATAGCTATTAATATTCTCATTTTACACATGAGGAATTTAAGGCAAGTGTTATGTAATCTGACCAAAGTCACACAGCTAATAAGTGACAGAGATTAGATTTGGTGAGATTTTCTAAGATAATTTACATAAGGTTAGAGTGATGTAGAAGTAGAAAAGGATATTTTAGAAACATGAGAAAGGGAGCTCAAGACCTTTGTGGGAGAGAACAATTACTAACATGTCCCAGAAAAATAAAGTGTGTACTGTGAGCTTGAACAAAATCATGACCACTGACTTCTTCCCAAAAAAATGTTAGAATGTAGCCCATAGTGTTCATAGATCTATCCAACAAGGTGCAGTGTATAATACATGGACCCAGTAGATTAATAGTAGAAATCAAATCCCTTTCTTCCCCTTCTCAATGGCGGTGTTCTACCCTGCAAAAGTAGGACAAATATGATGTGGAGAAAATGCACATTGGGACCTAAAAGAAGAATGTAGGAAGGATAATCAGGAAGCATTTGGGAGAAAAATCACAGGACTGTGGGTGAAAGTTAACAAGAGGCAAAATAGTGTTAGCCATAATTTACCTCTGGTTATACTCCTCTGCGTAACCATTTACCCCTTTTAAAATCAGAATCATAGCTTTATTGTACTGCTGACTTTATTAATTCAAAACCCTTTGTATTCGGTTTAAATTTGTGTATAAATTCCCAAGTATATCTATGTTCTACTTAGGAGCAAAACTCTTTGCTGATTTATATTTTCCATGTACGAGCATCTTTTAGAAACCCAGTGAAACCTAAAAATAATTTCTTAAAAACATATTCTCTTAATGACATTTAGGATTTGATTTAAAATACTTAAAGGTAAAAGGAGAAAGGGAAGTAGGGAGGTGAAGCAAATGTGGCAAAATTTCAATAATTATTAACTCTGGGTGATGGGTATGTAGGGGTTCTTTGTACTACTCTTGTGTATATTTTAATTTTTCATCAACAAAAATCATTTTATTACATATTCTCATCTCTGCAATAGAGCAGCGTAACTAATACTCTAGTGAAGGAAGACTCATTACTAAACTTTCTGAGTGATGCTAATGGTAGAGATATTAGTAGGATGATTATATAACAGTGTTAAAAACACAGCAGAGAAGAAATGACTATGTTGTATACTTTGACATTAAAGTTATGCAACCCGAAAACTAAAATTATAACAGAGCTTTTCTGATACTTCCACCTTTTTTTTTTTTTAAAGATTTATCTATCTATTCCAGAGAGAGAGAACGTGCATGAGAACACAGGGTTGGGGGGGTGGGCAGAGGGAGAAGGAGAGAGAAACTCAAGCAGAGTCCACTCTGAGTAAGGAGCCTGACACAGGGCTTGATCCCACTACGGTGAGATCACAACCTGAGCCGAAACCAAGAGTCAGGTGCTTAACTGACTGTACCACCCGGGGACCCATGATACTTCCACTTTTAAAAAAGAATTAACATTAAAAAAAAAAAAAAAAACTAATGATGTACTCTATGTTAGCTAATTGAACTGAATAAAAAAAAGTAGTATCTCATCATTGTAGGAAAAAAAAAGAATTAATGTTGACAAAAACTTGGAAGGAGGAATCTATACAAATTACCTTAAGTAGCTCTTAGGCATCCTCCACACCAGTGGTTTCCAACATGTATAAAGAATATATAACTTCATATGTGAAAAAAGTACCATTTGTTAGGCTACCTACACATATACCCTACTGATTTTCAAGTATATGAGGCTGTTTGATGTGGTTAACAAAACATAAATTCTAAAGCATTCCTGAATTCTTTGTAGTTTTTTGTGATGATATGTATACATTTCTTTACTGCATGGATACTAAAATTGTAGCAACTATCGTGTGGAAATCTCCGAAATAGTTTTATGTTTTATTTAAAACTAAGAATTATTACTGCACACTCATGATACCTTTTCTCTTACTGTGTGTTAACGTGTATTTCCAGGGGTTGGTGTGTGCTGGATTGGCTGACATGGCCAGACCTGCAGAGAAACTCAGCACAGCTCAATCTGCTGTTTTGATGGCCACAGGTAAATTAAATGAATATTTTCTGTGTTTCATTTAGGACATTGAATATTTTTGTTTTGTTTTACATCAGTTTATTTAACAGTTTAATGTTTGAAGCACCTACACACAAACACATACACACACACAAAGGAATTAACAGTGTTCTCTCTGAGAAATGTTTATAGATTATAGATAGAAAAGGCAGAAGAGGGTTACTGTGAGTAAGTATCCTCATGGGTTTTGTTTTTTATGTTTTTGCCATGAACCTATTTTTAAAGGTGGAAAAAATAATCGTTTGCCCTGTAAAGATTCCCTGTTGATGTAAGAATTAAATATTTTGTGTAACACTGAATTATGGCAACTTTATTAAAGACTCAAAGTATAGCATTTCCTTTTCCTTTATCCTACATTATATTGTCATGGTCTTATTTATAATTATTTTACCCTAATATTGAATGTTCAAAAGATATTGCAGCAGTACTTATGCTTTTTAAAAAAACATTTTCTTTCAACAGGGTTTATTTGGTCAAGATACTCACTTGTAATTATCCCAAAAAACTGGAGTCTCTTTGCTGTTAATTTCTTTGTGGGGGCAGCAGGAGCTTCTCAGCTCTTTCGTATTTGGAGGTAAGCCTATCAAAGGTGTAAAAAGAAAAATCTGCCTCAGAAGCCACCCAGATGGCAGTGCCTTTTTTTTTTTTTTAAGATTCATGTATAATGCTGAGATGGGATATGCCTAAAGCAGAAATTTCTAGAAAAGTCTGGGGATTTAAGTTAAAAGTGTTAAACAGCATGTTTGCTACCTAGGCTTTAAATCTGTCTGTGTATTATCAAGACATATAGCCTGTTCATAGAATCTGTTTTAAGACAACATACACAATTTATGAAATACTAAGTAATTTTCTCCATGAACCTTTTATGACTCAGTTTCAATTATATATAATAAAGTGGGACCTAAATGTGTATGGTTATGTAGTGTTGGAAATGATCTTTAGAGGGAGGTTACTGGTTTTGTCAGAAAGTATTCCATGAGCATTTGGAAATTTTTAAAACTGTTTACAGGCATCCCTAATTTTATTTCACTTCACTTCATTGTGCTCCACAGATTTTGCACATTTTTACAAATCGAGGGTTTGTGGCAACCCTGCATCAAGCAAGTCTATCGACACCATTTTTCTAACAGCATTTGCTCCCTTCATGTCTGTGTGTCACCTTTTGGTAATTCTCACCATATTTCAAAATTTGTCATTATTATATTTGTTATGGTGATCTGTGATGAGTGATCTTTGATGTACTACTGTCATTGTTGGGGGATGGGGAGCACCACAAACCACACCCACATAAGACAATGAGTTTAACTGATAAATGTGTGTGTTCTGACTGTACCACCGACCCGCCATTCCCCCATCTCTCTCCCTTTCCTCAGATCTCCCTATTCCCTGAGATACAGCAATATTAAAAATAGGCCAATTAATAAGCCTGCAGTGGGCCTCTAAGTGTTCAAGTGGAAGGAAAGAGTCATATATCTCTCACTTTAAAACAAAAGCTAAAAATAATTAAGTTGAGTTAGGAAGACATGTTGAAAGCCGACAAGATAGGCCAAAAGGTAGCCTCTTGTGCTCGACATTTAGCTAAGTTGTGAATGCAAAGGAAAGTTCTTGAAGGAACTTAAAAGTGCTACTCCAGTGAACACATGATTGATAGGAAAGTGAAATGACCTATCACTGATATGGAGAAAGTTTTAGTGATCTGGATGGAAGATCAAACAGCCACAACGTTCCTTTAAGCCTAAGCCCAATCCAGAGCAAGGCCCTCACTCTCTTCAATTCTATGAAGGCTCAGAGAGATGATGAAGCTGCACAAGAAAAGTCTGAAGCCAGCAGAGGTTGGTTCATGTGGTTCAAGGAGGAGCCATCTCCATAACATAAAAGTGCAAAGTGAAGCAGCGAGTGCTGATGTAGAAACTATCTATCCAGAAGATCTAGCAAGTTAGTTAATGAAGGTGGCTACAGTAAACAACAGATCTTCAGTGTAGGTGAAACAGCCTTATATTGGAAGAAGATGCCATCCAGGACTTCCATAGTTAACCTGGCTTTAAGGCTTCAAAGGACAGGCTGACTCTCTTGCTAGGAGCTAATGTGGCACTTTAAGTTGAAACCAGTGCTCGTTTACCATTCTGAAAATCCTAAAGACCTTAACAATAATACTAAATCTATTCTCCTTGGGCTCTATAAATGGAACAACAAAGCCTATATGATAGCACATCTGTTTACTGAATAATATGGTTTACTGAATATTTTAAACGCACTGTTGAGACCCCCTGCTTGGGGAAAAAAGGTTCCTTTCAAAATATTTCTGCTCATTGACAATGTACCTCATAACCAAGAGCTCTGGTGGAGATGTACACCAAGATTAGTGTTGTTTTCATGCCTGCTAACACAGCATCCATTCTGCAGCCCATGGTTCAAGGAGTTGTTTCAATTTTCAAGTCTTCTTATTTAAGAAATACATTTTGTGGGCGCCTGGGTGGCTCAGATGGTTGAGCGTCTGCCTTCGGCTCAGGTCATGATCCCAGCGTCCTGGGATCGGGTCCCGCATCAGGCTCCCTGCTCCTTAGGAGCCTGCTTCTCCCTCTGCCTCCCTCTGTCTCTCTGTCTGTCTCTCATGAATAAATAAATAAATAAAATCTTTAAAAAAAAAAAAGAAGTACATTTTGTAAGGCCATAGTTGCCATTGATTGTGATTCCTCTGATGGATCTGGTCAAAATAAATTGAAAACCTTCTGGAAAGGATTCCCCGTTTTAAATGCCATTAGGAACATTTGTGATTCATGGGAAGAGGTCAAAATATCAACATTAACAGGAGTTCGGAAGGAGTTGATTTCAACCCTCATGGATGACATTGAGGGGTTCAAGACCTCAGTAGAGGAAGTAACTGCAGATGGGGTGGAAAGAGCAAGAGAACTAATAAGCATGAGAAGTGGAGCCTGAAGGTGGGACTGAATTGCCACAATCTCAGGATCAAACTTAAATGGATGAGGAGTTGATTCTTATAGATGAGCAAAGAAAGTGTTTCTTGAGATGGAATCTACTCCTGGTGAAGATGCTGTGAAGACTTTTGAAATGACAAAAAATTCAGAATATTACATAAACTTAGTTGATAATGCAGAGGCAGCGTATGATAATGAGAGGATTGATTCCAATTTTGAAAGAAGTTCTACTGTGGGGTAAAATGCTATCAGAATGCATCGTGTGCTATGGAGAAATCATTTGTAAAAGAAAGAGTCAATTGATGTGGCAAGTTCCTTATTGTCCTGTTTTAAGAAAGTGCCACAGCCACCCCAACCTTCAGCAACCATCACCCTGATCAGTCAGCAGCCATCAACATTGAGGCAAGACCATCCACCAGCAAAAAGATTACAAATCACTGAAAGCGTAGATGATGGTTAGCAATTATAGCAGTATTTTTAAATTAAGGTATGTACTTTTCTTCTAGACATAATGCTATTGCACACTCAATAGACTATAGTATAGTGTAAACATAGTGTTTATATGCACTGGGAAACCAAAATGTTCATTTGCTTGCCTTATCGTGATACTTGCTTTTATTGTGGTGGTCTGGAACTGAACCCGCAATGTTTCCAAAGTTTGCCTGTACTCAGTAGTTGACATTATTTGTCAGTGACTGGCTAACACTCTGGAGTGAGCTCATCTTAGATGAAGGCTCTGGCTTTGTTTGAACCATAGAACCTTTCTAAATTACAAAACAATGTTCTTTGGCTAAAAAAAATAAATGATCTCAATAAAGAAATAGAAAATATTCAGTTTTAATTTACCTTCCTTTCAGAAGGCATTGTATTCTGCAGAGTATAGTATATCCTATTTTATTTATCTTCACTATCCCTAGGTTTATAATTTAATCCTTTCATAATCATCTAGCACAGATGGGATGGATGAATAAATAACTCATTCTATAGTATGTCTGATGTATGACCAGCATTTTTAGAGCTTACTTATATCAATATAAACTTTGATTTGTACAGTGATTTTATTCACAAGTATTTTTCTCATCCACCATTTCATTTTAACTCTATATTAACTCAGTAGTGGAGCTAAGAAAATGCTAAGTGCAACATTCAGAACTATTTCTAGAGCAAAAACTCAGATACAGTTTGACAAAAGGATTTTTGGCACCTATCAGTCACAATAGCAGATTGGGAGATTTAGTTAAAAATATAAATGTTGGACTCTGGAGCATTTAGAAAAACACTGTTGGGTATTTTAAATAGGAACCTTTTGAGAAATCTGGGAGGTATGGTAGACTTCATGGAATAAGTTACTTTTTGTGCTTATGTTATTGTCCACTTTTGTAATCTGGGAAGAATAGTAAATGAAGCTCAGGGTATTGTAGAAGGGAAAGACTCTATGGCTTTGTGGTTAATTCTTCTTTAGATAAGTGAGAATTTAAAAAACAGGGTGTTATATGCAAATAATGAATCATGGAACACTACATCAATAACTAATGATGTAATGTATGGTGATTAACATAATAATAAAATTAAAAAAAAAAAACGAAACAGGCCTTAGCTTTACTCTCCTGCTAACCCAGTGTTTACAAACTGCTAAAAACCCAGTAACCTGCCTGTATCACAAAAGTATATTTTATTTTTAATGATTAGACAGGATCCCATTCCCAATTTATTTTATTCTTAGGAAAGATGTTCTGCGAGTATAAAATAAAAAGTTCTAGATGACCACGTTTTGCTAAATTTTATATATATGTTCACATGTTTGTTATACTCTTAAATAATTCAAGAATGAAAATAGTCACCAAATTAATACTTTTGTATAAGAAACTGTATGCCAGTTAAGTTGTTAAAACTCTTTGGCAGTTGGAAGCCGGATGCAAATAAAATCCTTAAGTCACTTTCCCTTCTGCCTGTTTTACCTACATGCCCCCGAGAAGATTGTAGTTACAATGATGTATAGCCTCTTGACTAGTGAGAAGGAAGACATGGAATATACGTCCCATTCCGTTCTTATTACACATACATCTATTATGATTCATAATTATTTTTCTTTCTGTTTCCTTTGTAGATATAACCAAGAACTAAAAGCTAAAGCAAACAAATAAGAGTTCCTGACCACCCGAACAATCTAGATGTGGATATACCCACTGGGACTAATTTGATTTATTATTTGGCTATTGATAAGGTGATATTAACTGTGCTACTGTTTGGAAGTCATAAAAAAACTGTAAACTGGGGGCTAATACTTGATTCAACAGAAAAATAAAGCAAACTTTTAATAATAGTGTTTCTTTATATGTGACTTAAGAAACTTATCTATGCAGGCGCCTGGGTGGCTCAGTCG